TGACGTTTAAATTAAACTATATACCATCAAATACATAAATATTTTAATTTCAAATTTACATTGAACAAGAACAAGTATTGAAAAATCATTACTTTAATTTCAAACTTTGAATTGATCTTTTAAAAACGATTATGAATTACTATAAATATTCAACGTTTCACATTGAAAATTATGTTATTAAGTGTTTAATTTTTTTTATAAAAATATACAAATGATCATAAAACCAAATAAGTATGAAACTTTATCTAATAGATAGCCAAATTAGAAATTTACTATATATATATATATATATATATATATATATATATATATATATATATATGTTAATATCATATATTGTTTAGATTTACTTATATAAAGTAGTTATAAATAAATAAGTGTGTTTTTTTATATATTTTTCGCGCTAATGTAATTATATGCATAATAGTTAATAATTTCTCATTTATTCTCTCTCTCTCTCTCTCTCTCTCTCTCTATATATATATATATATATATATTATTTTATAATATGTTAAACAGACAAAATAAACAATAATGTATAAAATAAATTTTATATATAATTTTTATCCTGCGTATTTGTGCGGGGTCTTAACCTAGTTTTTTAATAAATAGAAAACCATGTTCGACCAGTTGAGTCCAACCAGTCAATCAGTAGCTATACCAAATCGATATCCGGTTCGGTTTTCAGAAAATTTTTATTATCATATTGTTGATAGAATATATACAGTAATTCTGAAATTAATGAAAGGTTAAACTTAAGCACTCTCTAATAAGGATTATAAAATCATTAATCCAGTATCATCTAGAAGCAAATATGATATACTCCCTCCGTTTCATACTAAGTGTCATTTTAGAGAATTTTTTTCGTTACAAAATAAGTGTCGTTTTCGATTTCCAGTGCAAAATTTATTAATTTTATTCTACAGTCTATTTTTCTATTTGTTGATATATGGTTAGGTGTATAGGTAATTGTGTTTTTATATGGAAAATATGTAAAATTAATGGTTTCCTTAATCCGTGTGCATGAACCTAAAACGACAATTATAATGAAACAGAGGGAGTATTAATATATTTTTTGTCATCACCATAAACAAACTCGATTAAAACTGTACTAACCAATAGGGTGTCAATGCAGAAGATTTGAAATGGTTGGATACGAGCATCAATTGCAAGACTATCCGCTTGTTTTTGTTTTGTTTTTTTTGAGCCCGGGGTATATGAGCGATCCTGAAGGTTATGCAATTTTCCTTGTTCTGTTGTATTTCTTCAAGGTAAGATGCAAATAATTTTCACCCATTGAGAATAATTTTCGCAAATTTCACGTGGAAAATTTCTTAGATTCCTCATTTTACATTGCCCATATAATGGCTTCAAACTCCGCATAAAGTGGGAATATGCTATTTCTTATATTTCTCGCTCCCATCAGTGCATCAAAACCTCCAAGTGTACTATACCAACCATGACCAGAAAAAATCTCCTTATTCTTCCAAGATTCATCTGCAAAACACCACATATGTATTCTCATGGGTGCACCTAAACTTTGTGTGGTCATAACTTGAGAACCATCATGTACTTGTTGAACTTGGAACTCATTCTACATTATGGTTTCTGTCTCTGATAATCGTAGAGTATCTCTAGGATCTCTATCAAAACCATTAAAAATATTGTCATTATGTCATTTCCAAATATACCATAAGATCCAATCATGATGAGCATCCGCTATGTATGATGTAAACCTCCAGAACAAAAAAATCATTTTTGCAAAGACTGATCTAATAAAAAAAAACATCTGGTGATGTTGGAACTCATGATAAATCTCATACCTGAACCGTTAGGGGAATTCCAATAGAACATGATTAATATATTTCTCTTCTACGAAACATCTGTCACAACTAGTGTCACATTGAATCCCACGATTTCTCAATTTTTTTCTCACCAATAGACACCCTGCAATATTCTGCCAGAGAAAGTTTTTTTAGCTTTGGTGAACATTTTATCTTCTATGAATGATTTCATAAAACAGTCGAATTTGGGACATAACTTTGGAGTTGTCTTTCTCTATCCGGATAGAGACACTCCACCGCGTAACCAGGTTTTCAAGTATAATTTTCTGATTATGTAAAATGTCACCCACCCATGTCTACACTGTGATTTTGGCATAGGAGAATATTTTCAATAATCTTGGCATTGTCGAAATCCACAAGAGTCCTAATGAAATGCAAGTTCCATGTACGAGATGTAGGTTTGATGAGCTTATCTACCGTAAGTGGGGGATTAAAGAGTGTTAATTTACTGTTTGCTGGTCTCAAACGAGTGGTTGGGATCCATGGATCATTACATACTGAGATGGATGATCATTTCCCACTCTTTTGATTAGTCATTTTCTAACCAGAGATCTAGGTGATACAAAACTACACAAACCATATGATGACGAATATGACCGAATTAGTTCCAAAGGACTTATCTTCCTAAAATACCGTCATTTAAATACTTTATCAAATAACGAGTTTGGCTTCTCGATCAAATACCAGGACTGTTTTTCTGACTTGGTTGTGTTGAAATCCACAATATTCTTAAAACCAATTCCTCCATTATCCTTTGGCTCACATAACTTATCGCATGAAACCCGATGCATATCTCTTGGGTTTCCACCTGTGTTCCACCAAAACTGAGATACAATACTTTTTAGCTTTGAGGTAGTTGTTTTTGGTAGTTTAAAACTGACATGACATGGTTCGGCAATGCTGTTTCCACTGATTTAATAAGCACTTTCTTTCCTCCTTTATTAAGGTATATAACTGCCCACCCATTGAATCTAGTATGCATTCTCTCTTGTAGAAATCCAAATATCTGGGTTTTTTTATCTTGCGAGGAACTTCGGAATATCTGAATATGTACTCATGTCGCCTATGGTTTGTATTCACAATATATCATGGATCTCTTTCTGAGCCATGTCAAGAATTTTATGTCCAAATTGAAGAGATGATTTTGAAAAGATAATTTTTGTTACGTTCATAATCTTTTAAAATTTGATGAATAGATAAACATTCCTCCTTTGCAATTTGCAGAAGAAAAATCTATCATATGCGACAAACATATGTAAAATCACCGGGTTTTGTCTTGCAACCTTTAAACTTGTCAGCTTTTTTTATCTCTTTTTGCTCTTCTGATATTGAAATTTAAGGCCATACACAAAAAAAAAAGGTATGGAGACAATGGATCTCCCTATCTCAATCCTCACCGAGGACTATATAGCCTCGAGACTGACCATTACGTAATACTTTATATTGTACCAAAGTATACTTTATATTTTCAAAAATAATCTTTGATTTCATTAAAAGAAACAAAGTTACTCCACCAAGAGAGAGTTTACAGTAGGATGTATATGTGACCATTAGGGTTTGTGTTAGAATTATAGTTAGAGTTTAGGGTTAGAGTTTGAAATTTGCAGTTCAAGGATTAATTTGAGAATAAAATTTGAAAACATATAGATATGAAATCTTAAACTTTAAAATTTGTATTTAGGGAGTGTTTATAATTTATAATTTTAAAGTTTTTGTTTGAGGTTTAGGTTTAGACATAAGTTAATATAAAATTTTATTAATTTTAACAGATTTTAATATAAAAATCAATTTCTTACAAGGAAATAAAGTTTACATATCGATATCTTAACTATATTTAGATATATTACAGTTTTATAGTTTGAAAAAAAAATATTTCAATCAAAACATAGAGTTTGGAGACTAGGGTCTGAAGTTTAGGGTTAAAGGGTTTGGAGTACATATAAGTGTTTGGAGTTTAAAATTAAGATTTGAGATTAAAATTTGAGTAAGTTAAAGATTTTTTGGTTAAATATGAAAATATTAAAGTTGTAAGGTTTGTGTATAGAGTTTATGATTTACACGTTTTTAATTTATTTTACTTAAGGAGAAAATTTTTGTTACTATATAATTTAAAAAATAAGTTATTAATATAAATAAATTTATAGTTTTAAAGTTGATACTCCCTCCGTTTCAATTTAATTGTCATTCTAGAGTTTTGCACACGGATTAAGAAAACAATTAATTTTACATATTTTCAAAATAAAAACACAGTTACCTATACACCTAACCACTTTTCAACCAATGAAAAAATAGAATAACATTTAAAATCAATAAATTTTGCATAGAAATTATAAAACGACACTTATTTTGAAACGAAAATTTTATTCTATAATTTGAAACGGAGGGAGTGATATATTATGAAAATATGTAATATCAGATATTTTAAATATCTAAATTAACCTAGAAAAGTATAATAAGAATAAATTACAATACCTAACACATAAGGAATTTTTTACTATAATTATTTGGAAAATATTAAATTTCTTCATGTAATATCGCCAGTGTTGAAGTGTTCTGTGATCAGAAAAAGTTGGTTGGAAAGGAAAAAGTATTTGTATAGTGTATATATTCATGGTTTACTTGGACAATGTTCAAGTTATTTATATATCTTGGTTAAAATAATGATAATAGGTTATAACTTGACTGTTTGAGGCCTTATGACTCGATTTGTTGTTGTTGTCGTTGTTGTTGTCGATATTTTTTTAATATGCTGGTCAGAGTTTGGTTGGTAAATACATTTGTAGAACCTTTTAAGTTATATATATCATATACATCATTCTTGGTTAACTTTGACTTAATTATATAAAATTTGTATATAGTTTTATTTTCTGATGAAAAAAAATCTAGTAGTATTAATTGATATTTACAACTTTATAATACATATTATTACCATGAGAAAAAATTGGTGTCATATTTATTTTCTCTAAAAGTTCAATTTAGAATTTCTTTTTAAGAGGTACAGTTAAACAAGAAACAAACAATATATATCTGCATTAAATATTTTCTTCCTACTCTTTATTTTGGGAATTAAACAAAAATCCTATAAATATTTGAATAAAACATATAAAGTACATTACTGAAAAATCAGATTACAAGTTTCACCGGAAAACATAGGCGATGGAAAAACCGATTGTTAGATTTTACACTAAGTCAAAGATGCCGCGGCTGCGATGGGCCACTGATCTCCATCACTATTTTGTTTATGTTGTTCAACGACTCGGTGGTGAAAGAAGTAAACAATCTTTTTTTTGTTTTTGTTTTCTTAAACAGTAATTACAGTTTCTCTATTAGTAAATTACGTCTATCAAAATTAATATCTTTTTGCTTTACTTTTATTTATTTTGATACTTTTCTCTTCTTTCAAAATTTATTAATATTACAATTTATAACTATCTTGATATATATAAATAGTTTGATTGTATAAAAAGTATTTATTTTATTGCAAAAATTGCAGAAGCAACTCCTAAGAAGATTGTGCAGGCCATGGGTGTGAAAAGTATCACACTGTCGCATGTGAAAAGCCATCTCCAGGTCATTTATATACACACAAATATGGCTATAAGTATCATTATATATGCAAATTTTCAGTGTGTGATCATTTATTTATGCTTATGCTGGTGTTTACTGAATCAAACGAATCTGTTGGTCTCAATAGATGTATAGGAACAAGAAGAGAAGAGAGTCAGTACAAGGTAAATAATATCACACGCACTTAAATATAAAACTATATAGGCATGTTTGTATTGTACATATACACAAGAACAACAGTGAATTCACAGCAAATATAATAATTGTTTTAATTGATGTCCATGATTTGTTTCATTTCATTCGGATAGAAAAGTTTCAATTCGTAGGCTTGGCTCTGAAACATTTTGGGCCCGAGAACAAAAGAAAATTTCAGTATCTTAAAATGAAAAAAAATAGTAATCCTCTTATTATTAATAGAGAAGCAGATTTTAGGTGTAACCTTCATTTAGTATTTTAATTACAAGCTTGCCATTTAAACTGATGTGGCAAATCGTTCTCCTCAGCCATCTTAATTAAAAGACTTTTAATTACTAAAATAATTATAAAAATTGCCATTGGTTTTACTATACATTTTTTTTAATACATTACAGCATATAACAAATCGCATGTTTATAATTACTTTAATTAAAAGACTTTTAATTACTAGAATAATTACAAGTATTTATAAACATACTATATGTTAAACATAAAATATTGTATAACTTATATATATTCTTTGTTGGAAATTACTAACAAAAAGGGTATAGTATATTCAACTATTTGTTTTAACAATTTTACCCATTGTTAAAAAAAAAAAATTTACTCCTCACAAAGTGCAGATCTCTATCTAATTCTAAAATGGTAACAGTTTTAAGGGATTAGCCAACCGAGTGACATATGATGTTATGAAATGAACGGTCAAAACAGTAAATATTGTTAACATGGCCAGAATAACATGTTTATATGCCTTCCACTACGGATCGGCATTGTTTGTATTGATATGAAATTATCTGGATTTATGTTTAAATTCAAAAACTTAAATGGTATTTAATTATTAATAAATATTTAAAAATGTTTGAAATTTCCACAAACTGAAATCAGAATTTTCATGGAAAACAAAATTCATATATTTTTATTATCTTTATAATATATCATATATTGCTTCGTAAAATCACACTTATGCCATTTTTACAAAACAAACTGAAATGGAAAATTGAACAAACCATATAATATTTTGCCGCAGTCTTGTTATAAATTACATGTGTGCAATTCTATAGCAGAAAGGAGAATGAGACAAGAAATGAGGTGGCGGCAATCTCAACAACACCTTCAAATTTATGAACGCCTTCGAGACGCTACCAAGTTTACGCAAAATCAACTAAGGTTCATGCGATAATTAATCCCTTATATATTATTTAATGATCTTTTTAAAAAGATATTACCTCAACTTTTTTGTAATAATTACAATTTTAGTTTATTGAATTTTCAGTATCTATCATTATTTTATTGTTTATGTGATAACCCAACAATGACTTTATGCAAACTTTAGACCAATAATTTATTCTATAGGCAAAATTTGACTGAACATATTTGAAAATGTGCTAATCAACTTATGGTATTTGAAGTAATTTATTCGAATTCATCAGATCGTTAATTTATATATACATTATTTTTTCTGATTTCTATATAATGGTGATCTTTGTTTTGAATTTCATGTAGGCTAAGCGATAATAAAGAAAAAACAATCTCATTTCTGAAACCATGTAATAAAACTGTGGAGGTATCTTGCAAGTCTCTATTTCAATCATGTGAATGATCTTTCTTATTAAATTATAATCGTGAAGGATTATTAATATGTAAATTCGATGAAGATCTAAATAGTGTTTGTATATCGCATCTGCCATCTCATACAGAAGATCATAACCCTACACGCATTGCTAAATTGTTATATTCATCAAATTTTTATCCATAATAATGCTATCTAACGATTTTCCATATTTTATTATTAAGTACCTTTTTCCAAAAAAAAGTACCTTTTTCTAAGTTTTTGGTGATCTATGTTGACAATCGAAATTTGCGAATGAATTTGATTTTTGTTTAATTATTAGAACATGGTGGTTTATAATTCTTATCATCTATGTGATTGTATATTGGTAGGTCGGACATGCTGACGATGGTGTGGTTGCTGCTGGCGATGCTGCAAATACTCGTTTAAACTCGACAGGAGTTTTGAAGGGTGAAGAGAAATTGTCCCTTGGACTCACTCTTGGTCTCAAATACTAAGAGGATACTTCGGTTTCTATACTTTTTAAGTTTCCTATATTTATGTAATTCTTGTTCCATAAATTTAACAATATGCGTTCCAATAAAAAAAGAATAATATAATATAAAATGTTGCTATGTGTTTTTCATCCATTATTTGGGTGAAATCTAACAAATCAGAGAACCCAATATCATGCGAGCTTTCACATCAATGGGTGCTTTCACATTTTATAAGAATTATAACATGTACATCTACTCTCTTTCTTTTTTGGACAACAGTACATCTACTTTCTAGGGTGTTGTACTTCTGTTATATCCTCACATACTTGCGTCAGAGACTCATCAGAACCTATATATTTGTGACAAAAAAAAAGAGTATTAAATCCTTTTTAATGTTTGCTACGCAAGGAAGAGATTGTCTGCGAGGGTTATGGAGATGATAAAGTTCTAAGATAATAAAGCACTAAGATAAAATGTGTACAGGAAATCACAAAGGAAAACTGAAATGTTTTCTAACCATAACAAAGAGTTACTTGGTAAATATTACATATAATTTCTAGAAGACAAAAACGTTTTTTACAAATGGCCAACATTTTGCGCAAATGACTATCATAGATAGAACTCTCTGGATACTTATGGCACAATCAAAGTATCCAAGATTTAACAAAGTATACACTTCACATTCACGTAATGAATCCTACTTTTGCAGCTAACAAGTAAATGTCAGGTGTTTTTAGAAATTACCGATTCATGATCTTAGGGACTTGAGACTCTTCTTTGTCTGCCTTATTTTTTGCACTCGTCATGGTAACCCATTATAAAGCTTGCAAGAGCATTTTTATCAAGTGATCGTGAATAAAATCATAAACCATTGAGTACAATAATTCCTAAATATAAATTTATAGCTTTGTGTGAAAATGTTTTCAGAAACTGGAGAGTGGTTGAAAGATATGGAGGAACAAGCTACTCTTGAAACAGCCATCGACCAATGTAATTTTGTCAGATTACATTTTATCTGAGTCTTAAAGAAGAACACATCGCTCGACGGAGCTCATTCAAATTGAAGAGCATCTAAGGCTGTTGACGAGAACGGAGGAGGAGGATGTAGTATTATGGAGAGGCAAAAATGATGTCTGCAAGACTAAGTTCACAACTCGAGACACATGGAACCACATCAGAACCCTTGAGAAAAGGTTACTTGGCACAAAGGTCTCTGGTTCAGTCAAGCAACACCGAAATTTCGATTTTGTGCGTGGCTTGCATGCTATGAATAATCGTTTGGCAACATGAGATAGAATGGCTATGTGGAACACTGGAAGTGATGGAATATGTGCACTCTGTCACCACCATCTGGAAACGCGAAACCATCTCTATTTTACGTGTTCTTACTCTTCCATATTGTGGAAGAAACTGACGCAAAACCTTATGGAAAACTTTTATTCTACTGGATGGGAGGACATTGTACACCAGCTAACGCAAGGAAGGACCTTGCCAGTTCACAGATTCCTCCTTTGCTATGTTTCAGGCTGCTGTTTATATGCTTTGGAGGGAACGAAATGGAAGGAAGCATGGGGACAATCCTCGTTCAGCAGATGTATTCTTTGGGTTAACCGACAGACAAGTGAAGAATAGAATAATGACTCTAAAGCAAGATAAACGAATGGTGAACGCTTACCAAAGCTGGATTGAGGCTGTCGGAACGTAGGACCGTTTCTTTTTGATATCACTCAAATTACCTTAAGAAATTAATTACTCTCATCAAAAGAGGTTCAATTGTAGTATTTAGGGATCGAATCCATAGAGAGCTAGGGAACCTAGTAGATCTAATAGTTATGTGGTTAAGTTAGGCTAATAGGTAATAATGCAGTAAATAAATATAGTAAACTAGAAAACAATAAACAAGATGAACAAGGTGATTGTTCAGCTTGACAAGGATTTGTTTGATGGAAGTATGGTTGCTAGATCTAGGGTTTCTATTCAGGTAATCAGGATTATAATGCTATAGATGCCTAACAAGTTGCATGCATGATATTAAAGAGCTTCAATTCTTAGATATCTATCAGCTCTCGCAGTCTAGACTCGTCCATGAATCTGATGCCGACAATATCGATCGATGTTTTGACAGCAATATCGATCGATATATACTTGTCGTTGATCGATTACTCTATAGAAGTATCGATTGATATAGCTTCAGATCAAGTTGAAATAGTGCCCACCAAGATCATAGACTAGCTCTCGCTTATCCCTAGAGGATCTTAGCTTATACATGATGATATCAGAATGATGATTAATGAATTAATGCCATCATGTTCATGTTCTAGTTCATGACTCTGAAATCAAGCATTAGGGTTCATCATGATAATGAATATCACAACTTAGCATCTATAGTTGGGGCTAATCCCACAACCTATCTGAATCCTAAATCCAACATGTGGATCCATTCAGACATGAAGATTATCACAGAAATCATAGATGAATAGATGAAGAACATAAATAATATAAAACCAAAACCAATGGAGTTCCAGGAGGACTCTGATAGGAGTTCCTCCCTTCTCTCCTAACGATAGAAAAGAACTTAGAAAAACTTAGATAGCGTGTAGCCGTCAACAATGGCTTATAAATATCATAACTAGGGTTTCAAATCGTCAAGAGTATTTTGGTAACTTTGTTGTATCTTCTGGGCTTCAGTCAGTCATGAACCCTAAATTCAACAAGTGGATCTATTCAGACATGAAGATTGTCACAGAAATCATAGATGAATAGATGAAGAACATAAATAGTATAAAACCAAAACCAATGGAGTTCCAGGAGGACTCTGATAGGAGTTCCTCCCTTCTCTCCTAACAATAGAAAAGAACTTAGAAAAACTTAGATAGCGTGTAGCCGTCAACAATGACTTATAAATATCATAACTATGGTTTCAAGTCGTCAAGGGTATTTTGGTAACTTTGTTGTATCTTCTGGGCTTCAGTCGGTCATGAAATATAGTCAGCCCACGTTCTGGAATTCATATCGATCGATATGAAGGCTTTACCACCGATCGATATACATTCCTCTTCTCGACAGCCTTCTCTCGCAAGGCAGATTGACCACTCTTCAGTAAAACGGGGATAACTTCTGATCTAACCGTTGGATTGACCCCGAACCGATGGAATTGGAAAGCTAACTCAAAGCTCTATCTTGTGTCCAAATATCAGCTAAATCTCACAGTGGAAAGATCTCCATCAATATCTAAACATCTGACGCGTTTGCGCAGTTTTACACTCAAAAGACTCCAAAAGACTCCAAAAGACACCAAAATCACCATATTTCTCCTGAATCAGGAAATACTCTAAATAAACTCTATATTGTAGTAAATATATATGAAAACACCTATAGACCATGACTAAAATGGGTAAAATTCATGATCAATCACTGTTTAAAAAAGTTTCATTATTAGAACACAAGTCATAAACAAAGTAACTCATGATGTAAACAAGTTCTATTTTCTTTTGAATCAAATTTAAAATTTTATTAAAAAAAAGAGAATGTAAAGTCGTCACAGATTTTTCCAGATTACTTTTGATGATGTCTCAAAATATATATATAAACTATTAAAGAGGAAAATATACCGGACAAGATGAAGTGCTTTCTTATTTTTTCAAACAGGAAAGAAACTTTTTTCCAACAAATAACGGGAATCCTAAATATAAAATAATATTTTTCTGATTCACAAAAATGAACACAACTTGCAACCTAAACACCAAATGGCATAAAGAAAGAACGTGTTTAATGAAAATGAGATCAGAGCCAAAGTTTAGACAAAATGAGTAGCGGACGACAAATACTGATATACATGCATGTGTTAGACTTTTTTTTTTTTTTGACATCGACATGTGTTAGACATCTATCATAATTAGGTCCCACAAATATATTAGAAATGCAAGATCCTTCTAAAGAAAAATAAAATATAAGGTGATACAATACATTTATGTAAAAACTAATATTTTCATGTATATATTTAAATTTTACTTATTTTTGATGATCTCTGAACTAATGATGTGTGATTAAAACAAAATTAATATATTTATATATTTTACTTCAGAATTTTCAAAGAAATTCTAAGCTTATAAAACTCGCTTAAGAAACATATTAACAGTAAAACCATGCATTAAAATGACCATTTCAAAGAATATTTAAAAAACTAGTGCATAGCGTTGGACAACTCCTAACTAATAATTTTTTTGCTATAAATATTTACCAAATTAAAAAAAGAAAAAACAAGTTAGTGCTAGGAAAAGAAAACAATAAATTTATAAAAATTATACAAAATTAGATTTTTCATTTAACAAAAACCAAAATATCACATTACACGCGTAGCACGGACCGATCCTAGTATATATATATAACATCTCTTTAACATGATTCACAAGCCTATGGGGATACTATAAAGAATGAGTGAGATATACCATTATGCAAACTAAACACACACGCCGCCGCCTAGCGTGTTTGGGTCTTAGTGAACTTTAGATAAATCCTAACAGGCTGCGTCTAAAATACCTCGATAGATCTAAATGATTTAGATTTTTTCAAGATAATTACAAAAAAAAATTCTCAATAATTATCGGAATATTACTATTACCTGCTATTGCACCAAAAACTAGAATGCTTCCTTCCCATTATAAATAAGCATCTATTCTCTTCATTATTTTATACGCTTAAGTGCAATTAGAAACTTACAGCAAAAATCTTAGTCGTGTACTTAGTAAGAGTAGATTCTAAAATCGACACTCACTATTTTGTAGAGATTAAGAGTTCAATCAGGGGAAGATAAAGGATGTGGGCAACGATGCTCTTAAACAAAACGATATAATCGGACTTTGATTGACAAAAATGAACTTTTATTAAATATGAAATTCGTTTACAAAACGATGAACAAGATCGGAAATAACAACAAAAAGCACAAGAAGGCGAATTAGAAATCTATAGAATTAGGTCGGTGTGATTAGTGAATAGCTCTAGGGTTTTTCCGTGTGTGTTGC